GATGATGATGATGGTGATGATGATGATGATGATGATGATGATGATAAGGAGGAGGAGATGTAGAAGGAGGAGGGAAGAAGGCCCGGGTGATCTGCACCGCGTGAAGCGTAGGCCCCCCGTGGGCGTATCCAGCACGCTGATAGCGCCAACGTCCCCGCCTGGCCTCCGGGCCAGCGCAACGGGGTGGCGGGTGGCGCCCCGAGTGGGGGCGCTCTGGGGGGCTGCCGCTTGGGGCCCGCCCCGGAGCGCGCTGCGCGCGACGAGATTCACTCTCACCGCCAGCAGAGCCCCCAATGCTCCCAGCGCTGCCACCTGCCAGTGAACCTCGCATCGCTCGGACGTGTGCATTTTTTCCTCGGCGAGGACCCTGGAGGAGCATCCTGGACCATCGAGCAAAAAAAACACGCACGAAACCGAAAAAATGCACAGGGAATGGACGTCCGAGCGATGCCAAGTATCTGATCCCAGGATGGCCGCGCGCAGGTGGCGCAGGGCTGGCCTGCCTGGCTCGCCGCCTTGCCACTCGCGGTCGGCGCGGTGCCCGCGCGCCGTCCTTCGCGATCGCTGGCCTCGCCGGGCTCACACGCGAGACCTTGGCCGCGAGCTCCGAAGGATCCGCAGAGCCCGCGAGCGCCCGCTTGCGCTCTGGGCGAGGCCTGCCCCGTTGCCGGGGGGCTGCAGGGTCGGCCCGTTACGATGCTGGCTCGAGGGTGGGGGGAGGCGCGTCAGGTCCCACGAGCGCCCCCTGCTCTCGAGCCGATGGCAGCAAGCGCGGTCGTGGGCAGGGCGGGCTGGGCGAGCGAGGTCGCAACGCAATCCCCACGAGTCACGACGGGCGACGAGCCCTCGCACAGTTCCCACGCTCCCACTCCCGGAGGCCACAACGCCGCCTGGGGCGGCGGCATCTCTCTGACAGCTCGCAGTCACTGAATGCGCGCCTCGGTCGCTCTAGGCCAGCCCAGTGGCCTCTCCCAGGCATCCAACCCCGCTGGTCTTTCCCGTGATTTCGCAATTGCCGCATCGCAAGTATCCTCATTGTACGTTCTATATTGGATCAGTTTGAGCATTCTACAGCACGACGGCCACCACGCCAATGTATGGGCGACGTCAACAACAGGAGCATGATTAGAAGAGGGAGGAAGAGGGGCACGAAGAGGAGGAGGAGGAGGAGGAGGAGGAGGAAGAGGAGGAGGAGGAGGAGGAGGAGGAGGAGGAGGAGGAGGAGGAGAGTCGGTTACTCGGCCCACGGGGGGCATCATTTTTTTCTCGCTGCATTTCTCTATCTGCACCAGTCTGCAGCCTAATTTGTATTGCTCGCTTCGCTAAGTCGGCCGATCTCATTGCAGACCCGAACGCTACAACCCTGCAGCTGAAGTTTCTCCCGCGTAGAAAAGAGGAGGAGGAGGCAGGAGTCAGTGAAGCAGGGGGAGGAGGAGGAGGAGGAGGAGGAGGAGGAGGAGGAGGAGGAGGAGGAGGAGGAGGAGGAGAATCCGCCGCCCCCTTGTGGCTTGCCACAGGTGTGCCTGGCGTGCTAAGTTTCAGGAGGGCTTTGGTTTTTTCTAATCACCCCCCTGGGGCTTTGGCCGATCCCGCTGGCCACCCGGAAAACCGCCCCAAAGAGGCCCCCGTTGCCCAAAGCGCCTCGAAGACGGCCAAGATGGCTCGAGATTGCCTCCAAGACAGACCCAAGACTGCCAAGGTGGCCCCAGGAGAGCCCAAGATGGCCTCCAAGACAGACCCAACATGCCTCCAAGACCGCCAACATGGTCCAAGAGAGCCCACGACGGCCAAAGAAGCGCCCAAGAGGCCCCTAAGACGGCCCAAGAGGTCTCCTAGAGGTCCCCCAGGAAGGCCCGAAGAGTACCAAGTCAGTGACGTTCGTTGGATGTTTGAATGGTTCAGACATTTGCTTCAAAACGGCATTCCGACGGCCCAAGACGGCATACGAGGCTCCCAAGATTACGCCAAGATCGCTCAACAGGCCTCTACGATGGCCCCAGGATGGCCCAAGAGGCTCCCAAGACGGCCCAAGATCCAAGATGGCCTTCAAGACGACCCTGACGCGACCCAAGAGGTCCCCAAGACGTTTCAGAGAGGCTCCCAAGACAGCTTCCGACGGCGTCAGACGGGCCAGGAACGCAGCAAGACGGCCAAAGAAGCATTCAAGAAGCCACCAAAAACTCCCAAAGAGGCCCAAGGAAGTCCCCACGAGGCCACCTAGAGGACCCCAGGAAGCACCCGGGAGGCCCTAAGAATGCCCCCAGAAGCTCCCAAGAGGTCTCCTCATCCTTATCCTCATCCTATGTTCACCTTCTTTTCCTCATCTTCCTCTTCCTCCCCCAAGTGCTCCCCGAAGGGCTTCCGCAACGGCTGGTGGAACGGATGGTCCAAAAGCGTGGCCAAAGTTCGCCCAAACTTTTGGCCACATAGGCGTATCCTAAAAAGGCGGGGCGTGGCGGTGATTCGCAGTGGGCGTCTTCGATGAGGAGGTGGGTGGTGG